GGATAATAAGGTCTATACTTAGTATTTCCTTGATTTGTTTACATTTCCTAAGGGGTTCGCTTGATTGTTTGCCCACTGTGGATTTTCACCATTAGAGTTCTTGTTATTCCAACTTAAATTAAGGTGATTTGTCCAACCATTATTGTAATAATTATAATAGAGAATATTTGGTTGATTATTTTTTGCATTCAAAGTTTCATACGATGATTGAAAATCTATCATTTGTATGAATAAATGTTCTTCAACCACTGGTGGTGTTTGAGATATATTCATTCCAAATTGATCCAACTTCTTTAATATTGCATCAATTTGAGAAGCCAAAATAAAAATTATGTCAGAGTCGTGAACACTAACTACTCTTTTTTTTATCCTTTCAAAGGCAGGGCCATTGAAAATTTTCAGCAGTCATCTCTTAACTAATGAATATACTTCATCCAATAGTTTTGAAAATAATGATTCACCAGCAGCAACGTCAACAATAGATCTTAGAGATCCCCTAATCCATTATAAAATATTTGAATTGTTAACCAATCTGGTAAATAATGGTGTGGACACTTCCTATGAAGATCTTTAAATTGTTCCCAAGCTTCATATTATGATTTCGCTTCAAATCGACAAAAAGATGTAGTATCGTTTCTAAGCTTAGCAGTTTATTTATGATTGGAAATATTTAGCAAAAATGTTATGAGATAATTCTCCCCAAGTTCTGATTAATTCAGGTTCTAAAGAGTTTAACCACATCTTAGCTTTGTCCCTTGATAAAAAAAGAAAAACGTCTAACTCTGATAGCGTCATATTACATTCCATCATATTTAAATGTAGCACACAATTCTAAAAAACTAGCAAGATGTAAATTCAGATCTTCAGACGGTGTTCCCTCAAACTTATTATTTTTAACCATTTGAATAATAATAGGTTTAAGCTCAAATGAATTAGTAGCTACAGTTGGAATTTAAATAGTCAAGTAAATTTCATCGACTGTAGGGTTAGTGATTCTGATGTATTTTATATGTAAGGATTTATGAAGTTGACACCACTACATGGTTAACTTTATCCCAAGTAAAGTAAGATTTCAATTGTATCTTTAAATAGTAGAGATTCTACGTAAGTATACTTATCGTTATCAAGTAATTTCTGATTAAGCTCCGAATATCGATCCCATGGAGATCGAGGTTAATCACAGTGGCTTTGAAGATAAGTTCTAGTTTAGAATAACACGCCCTAGCTTGGAAGGCCGATAAAGGTTTGTTTCTGGTTATATCCTAAAATTATCACTACAATACTACTTCAACTCCAAAACTAAAATACTTAGTGAAAATAAAAAAAGTGGGGCTTAATATATTAAAAGCACCCTTCATCATGCAATGAAATTAGCGACATGTGTAAAAATAAAACAAGTATTGAGAGAGATTGTGACAAATATGACCAGTTATATTCTTGGTCAAGTAATATTAAGAACAGTTAAGAACATTGACCAATTCATAGTTTAGGAAACCTAAAGACTGGCTAGGTGATGCGGGTGGATTTAGTGTGAAAATTTTGCAAGTATTTTATAATATTACAAAATGCACATTAAGAACATTGACCTGGCTAGGTGATGCGGGTGGATTTAGTGTGTTAATTTTGCAAGTATTTTATAATATTACAAAATGCACACGACAGATACAATAGTAAATATGTAAATTAATACCAATAAGAATACCTTTTATGAAAATAATTTATCTTTCCAACTCTTTCTAATTTAAAAAGCTTTAAACTGTCAAATCCGCTCTAAAAATAACGCAAGTATACTTATCACTCAAGTAATAAAAGACTCTAATGGAATCCTAGATATCGACCCCACAGGGAAGTCGGAAATGCCTATAAATAAGTTCTTAAGATTATAAGGTAAAGTGCAACTTTAAAAATACAAAAAGTAAAGTGCGAAGTTCCAATATTAAGTAATAAGTGAATGCTAATTAAAATGCAGTTGAAAGACAAAGTTAACAAAACTAAATGTTAACTTTCAAAAGAAAAATTTATGAAAATTAAACTAAGTTTTTTGTGACGGAAAGTTTAAATTTAAAAAAACATCATTCCCTTTTACAATGAGTAAACCACTAAATTTTGATGATAAGTCTTTTTAGCAAAATTATAAGATAAATTATAAGTGCCTATGCCAACTTGTTTTCAAGTTTTATCATGTTATTTTAGATAAGGTTCCAAATTAGTACTAATTATCATTGTTTTTAATGTGGTGAAAAAAATAACCAATTAAGGACACATAATTATCATATTTAGCATGGAGAAGATTGCACTAAAGGTGACCTAAAATTACACTTTAGATGGGTTCTACGATGTCCATGGATTTTTTTTATTTTAACCTTTTAAGTCCATGGAAAATGTAGTGCAAAAATTTGATAATCAAAGTGCTATACCAAACGTAGTAGCCAAACACAAGAAAGAAGATGAAATGATGTAAGCAACATGATAGGAAATACAATAAAAGATTTTTTCCCTAAATTTATTTATTTTTAGTATTATAATTTTTTTACAAGATATTGTTGTTGAAATTTTATATTTTCATAAAATTTCCACAATTAAAAAGTTGAAATTATAAAATTAAAAAAATTTAAATTTTAATTTCAAACTTCTATATTTTTCAATATTTTAATTTGTAAAAATAAGATGATAAAATTTAAATTCAAATGGAAAGTGTTTAATTGAATTAAAATGAATTAAATAATCAATTTTCACTTTCTAATTGTTAGACACCACTCATATAAAAGAGATAGTTATGTATTGGTTAACAAACCCTTTGAAAGTATTACATTTTATCATCCCCTTAACTTCCTGTCATGCATTTTTAATAAAGATTGAATTTTGATAAATTTTCTCTCCATACATTTTCCTGAAGTAATTATTAGATTAATGTTGCATTTGCAAAACAATATAGATTTTACCTCTTATGAGGGATGCTTGGTGACTTGTCTTAACATTGGAAGAACTAGTTGATTTATATATGGCTTGACACATTGTTGAGTGGTAAATTTAATTTTTTCCATAAACTCTAGTTGTTTCTTTTAGTCCAATTCCTTTATCCTCGCCATACTCTTATATAAAATCTCCAAATATTCAACTTAATGCCTATCTAATCGCATCATGAATGTCTTATTCAATTTAAATCATATCTAGTTGCATCATGAATCTCACTAAGGCATGCATTAACAAAATTTTTTTATTAGTCCTAATCCACATTTGGATATCCTAAAATCCTTGAATAAATATGAATTGCTCAATAATGATAGTAGAAAATGTCATCTTACCTTGGTCAACCAATTTTTTTCAAGTACCTTACATCCACTATGCCACCGACGAACCCAATACTTTCCTATCATTATTAAACCTTCTTACAACATATTCAAGCATATGTGAATCCCGTTTAAAGTGGTCCACATCATTGCACTAGAAAATGAAATTCATGCATCAAAAACTAAAATTTTGATCTTTATTGGAGTGCTATCTTTATGGATCATATTAGAGGAAATATACCATTAATGTAAACATGAGATAATCATAAATATTTAATTTCTATGTAAGTATACTATAAATTTAATTTATAAAACCTCACATTGATAGTCTTATATAAACTTCTATAAATTCTAAATAAATTAATGAAAATGATCAAATTTATTGGAATACTCAAATCTTCTATTTATTATCAGTGACCCAGTTAGTATAATATGGAAAAAAACTTGATCTTACTTTAATTGAGCGTTTTGTACACTGCAATAAAATAAATAGAAAATAATTTGAGTAAAATTGTTCTGGGCTTGAACCAACATCAATCCAGTCCAGTGTTCGACTCAAAAATCATAGAACAAAAGCTTTCCTTAACATGCGCCATACTCTTATATAAAATCTCCAATTATTCAACTTAATGCCTATCTAATTGCATCATGAATGTCTTATTCAATTTATATCATATCTAGTTGCATCATGAATCTCACTAAGGCATGCATTAACAAAATTTTTTTATTAGTCCTAATCCACATTTGGATATCCTAAAATCCTTGAATAAATATGAATTGCTCAATAATGATAGTAGAAAATGTCATCTTACCTTGGTCAACCAATTTTTTTCAAGTACCTTACATCCACTATGCCACCGACGAACCCAATACTTTCCTATCATTATTAAACCTTCTTACAACATATTCAAGCATATGTGAATCCCGTTTAAAGTGGTCCACATCATTGCACTAGAAAATGAAATTCATGCATCAAAAACTAAAATTTTGATCTTTATTGGAGTGCTATCTTTATGGATCATATTAGAGGAAATATACCATTAATGTAAACATGAGATAATCATAAATTTTTAATTTCTATTTAAGTATACTATAAATTTAATTTATAAAACCCCCCATTGATAGTCTTATATAAACTTCTATAAATTCAAAATAAATTAATGAAGATGATCAAATTTATTATTTTACTCAAATCTTCTATTTATTATTAGTGACCCAGTTAGTATAATATGGAAAAAAACTTGATCTTACTTTTAATTGAGCGTTTTGTACACTGCAATAAAATAAATAGAAAATAATTTGAGTAAAATTGTTTTGGGCTTGAACCAACATCAATCCAGTCCAGTGTTCATAATCGATCGATTCAAAAATCATAGAACAAAAGCTTTCCTTAACATGCAAGTCAAACGTTGTAACCTTTTTCTCGTGAGGAAAACCAAATGACGAATTTACAAAGCAATCCCAAAATACAGATTGAATAAATTAATAATTAAGATTTCACGAAAAAAATTAAAAGCATTTAGGCAGCAGAGAGAGGGAATCCAATTCCATGCCTTGTAGTCGGAAAAGCAACAAAGAAGCCGCTCCCCACAACCCCCATCCCCACCGGCAAGCTCGCAATAAGCTGCTCCATCTCCTCCGACAACACAGGATAAAAACACGACACAAAGTTCTTATCAAGCAGTGCAACAGCGGCAAATACCAACACAGACATGAAGCCATGCACGAAATCAATAAACTTAATTTTATACGCCTTTGCCTCATCAACTGGTAGCTGAGCAGTGCCATCTATGACCCACATCCCTTTGAAGGTTGCAAAGCCGTAACGAACAACGCCACTTGCATCGCGGAAGCTGTCGGTGAAAGAGAGGACGAAGCAAGAGAGGGCGCAAAGCAGGACGAGAGAGGAAGTCATGAACTGGTTGACGGGGTAGCAGTGACCGGCGTTGGCGAAGAGTGGGGCGAGAACTTGGAAGGCGAGGAGTGTGCCAGTTGGGAGGAGTTTGGCGAGGTTGGCGGTGCTTTGGAAGGTTTGGGAGATGGCTTTCTGGGCTGGAGTTAGTTGATCATTGGGCGGGTTTACGGTGCTTTGGCGACGGAGGAGGGATGGTTTTTCCGATAGTAGTGGTTGCTGGGATTCTGCGTCTTTGTTGCTTGTTCCCATGTTGTGGTATTGGAAATGCTTCTCTTTCTCTCTTACTTTTGTATGTAAATGAATTGTATATATAACTGATAGTGCTTTCGTTTATAGAGAAAAGGTCGGAAATGGAAGGTTGATAGGGTCAGCGTGGAAGGAATGGGAGAGGCGAATAGATTGCTTGCAAGGAAGAAAAAAGTGGGCGGAGGCATTTGTTATGAGTAGATGAGATATTTCGTCAAACGGAGATCGTCACACGGAGAAAGTTAAGCTATTTGGGAATTGCTGGTTGTGTACGGGATGCGTTTGTGTATTGATTGTAGAAACCGAGCGCGGGTATAAATTCTGCTAATGACTGTAATGCTTAAATGCCATTATGACTATTGTTATAAAAGCGGACGTTAATGTTTAGGAAGATTTACCACTGAAATAAATTTGGGTCCGAATTAAGATGGATTTTAAAATCGTGAGATTTATTTATATTTATCTCAAAATCAATTCAGCAGTATGATAATCAATTTGGTGAAAGAATGCTCGCAAAAAAAATTTATGCATAGTACGAAATTTTTTAGCAATATTTCAAAATTTTTTGATTTAATGTAGTATTAAAACTATTTAATTAAAAAAGTTTTTTGATATACCAAAATGTGATCGATAAACCTGTGTTTTCTGTAAATACGAATGTACAAGTTATGAAGTGTACGTGTTATATTATTTGATGTAAAATTAATTAATTTTTAAAAACTTAAATAAAATTTAGAATAACCTTAGGTCATCATTTTAAATGATTCATCGGACATTCTATGGACATAATGCATGATTTACTAACTGCACACAACAAAATATGCCAACACGAATCTCAAGGCAGAATCGACGGATCAAAAGGATGATGTGACCGATCTACATTCCTATTGACGATCGACAGATTAATGCTAGCAAATGAGATGTTTGGATCGATCGATTGTAAGGACATGCCACAAAATTTACAACTAAATGATGATCGACCTTAAGGTTGATCGATAGATTCTTAAGTTTCGAAATAAGTATTGATAGAGTTAAGATGGATCGAATGACCAATAAACTTCTCGCCGACTGACAACATTCTGCCAGTCTTATTATATTGAAATATCATTGTAATTACTAAAAGAACCATTTTCGTAATTTTGTAAGATTTGAACCTATTCCCATAAATAGGGGGGCCCATAGCATGAATAAAGAATTACGCAATCTCACTACACTCTACTATACTTCTTCTTACATTCCCTTGCAAGACATTCTATACCTTGGGTGTGTTTTTTAGACACTTTGGATTCAACATCTCTTAAAGTGCGGTGAGCATGGAAACATGTGTTCAACAAGAAGAGGAGCCCAGCAACAACAACAGGGAGAATTCAGCGAATGGAACATGGTAAAAGCAGCATGCACTAGAGATTTCATGGAAGAATTCTTTTAACAAGGCATGAAAGATTTGAGAATTCAGATCAACAATAAAATATCGAGACAATTTGTACAGGTGCTTGATGCGCGGTTATTTTATTGTGCTAGTAATGTTTTTCAACACTTTAACACATGTGACAACTTGAATAGAAAATATGCAGGACAATCACAATAAAAGTTTACTTTGGTATAATCAGTTTCTCTTTTAAATCTTTAAATTTGCCACTCCTAGTGAATCAATATATATATTTTTTCAATTTTAAATAATCACTAGGTTTCAAATGCAGGTGTACGTTTCACACAAGTAATAAAGGGCTCCAATGGAGTCCTAAGTATCGATTGCATAGGGAGGTGGAAATTCTTATAATACTAACACAAAGACACAATATGAACATTATGAAACAAACTTAAGAAAGAAAGCAGGTTGAGGTTTGTATTAAACAACTAAGGAACTATGTTTACTACACTAATATCTAAACTTCAAAGTTAAATCTAATGTAACTAAGCTAGGTTTTATAACGAAGGGTTCAAAATTTTAAAAGTTTCCTTTCCCTTTACAATTAGATTATAGTGAGTGAAGTATCCAAACTATCATTAAATTGTATTGTGTCAAATAGGAGCAATTATATTTTTTATCCTCTTTATGAGTGACAAAAAATGTTGTCTAATCCAGAGTTTAATCCCTAAATCCACAGTTAAGTTGAAAAGATACCAAGCTCTCACTTTAGAGTTCCTAAGTCCCCCTCACCTAAAGGAAAACCTCTCTCTTTAGTTTCCTAACACATGGTCCAAATTGGGGATCTTAGTCAGTCACCCTAAAATCTCCAATTCTACGGCCAATAAAATGTATTTCTCTATTTATTTGTACTCAACCCGATGAACAACATTCTCATTCAAATGTGATTTTTACTTGTAGAAAGTATAGCGCTCTCGGATCGTATGTTTTCACAATAAATTTTAACAAATCAATTGGCCAAATCAATAAGTAAATGAATTTCAATGTTTTAATCATCACAATTAAGAATTTAAAACATTTCTTAACAATTTAGATTCATCACATAACTATATCTCATTGTAGGGAGAAGGACAAAGCAAACTACACAGAATTCATGAGGAAGATACAGTAAAACATGAAAATATATATACAAAAACAAGTTCACACTACAACTGAAAATAAAATGAAACAACTTATCTCAATCTCCTCCAAAAGCAAATCCTTTGAAGTCCTTTGAATCACTTTCTCTCCTTACAATATCACTCAATTCTCTCTTAGAAATAAAATAAAGAAGAAATCTCTCACTTTCCCTCTCCTCTTACAACTCTTAGAGAAAATCTTCCCTAAGTCTTTCTCACCCTTACGCATTTTCGTCCCCCTTCAATTTTAGCCTAAAATCTCTATTTTAGATTGTAAAGCCAAATTTCCAAGAGTTTCCTTTGGCATCCTTTCAAAAATTCATCCAAATTCATTGCATTTAGAGCAATAACCATTTATGGCGTCTAGGCGCCATAATAAGGCAATTAAGCATCGCCTTCTCTAGATCTGATGCTTAAGGGCCAGTTCAATTTTGGATTCTGGTGCTTAGGCACCGAATCATTCACATATGTGCCAATTCAACTCTTACAATGAGCCGTCTTTTGCCTCCAAACTTCTTCTTACTTGCTTCCTTCAAGCTCCAAATGCCTAGACTTAGCATAACTGTGAAAAAAAACATGAAAATACTTTTCTTCAAAGTGCAATATCATTAAATATGGGCATTAAATTTATATATAAAAGCTGAGTATTTTTAGGCATGTCAAAATCCATCAAACTTAACTGTTACTTGTCCTCAAGTAACTCTTTCATTATGTAAAAATTATGACTTAAGCTAGTGAGCATCACTTAATAACATAAATAGTTTTTGTTTTATAAAAATAATAGTAAAACTTTAGAAAAATTTTTATAACTTAAGTAAAAATTAATAATGTAAAAATATCTAGTAGCCAAGTCTAAGAATTTTTATTTTCTATTCATCAAGAATAATTGTAATTCGACAAATTTAGAATGCTTAAAGGGATTATATGAAAAATAATTTCATGAGAAATTCATTAGTAAAGATGCTAATAATTAAATATAAGTTTAGAAATGTAATTAAACCGCTTTCCTTAAGATAATTCAAGTGAAGCCAATTTTTTATTAGGCATCTCCTCAAACTTCTCCTCACATATATTTCTCTTTTTGGTTTTATTTTTCTTTTGATTATATTTTCCCTTTTTTCTTTTAGGATCATTTTCAATTCTTTCTTTTATTTACTGTATTTGGATAGCCTTTTAATGATTTTGAACTTCACTATCCTCTTCTTAAAGTTAAAAACTTCTAACATTTCTTACTTCTAAATGCATATTAGCTTTATAAATCTTTTTTTCCTAAATTCTCACTGAAATTATATATCCTATTTTAGATAGTACGTGGGTAAGTCCAATTCATTGTGTTTCTAAGAAAGGAGGAGTGACTGTTGAAATAAAAGAAAATAATGAATTAATACCTATTAGACAAGTTACTGAGTGGTATATTTGCATTTATTATAGAAAATTAAACACTGCCACCATGAAAGATCACTTCCCTTTACCCTTTTTAGATCAGATAGTGGATAGACTTACTAGGCACAAACATTTTTGTTTTTATGATGGATATACTGGTTACCATCAAATTCCTATTGTTCCTGAGGATCAAGACTAGACAATATTTACTATTCCTTATGGAACATTTTCTTTTCAAAGAATGCCTTTCGGATTATGTAATGCACCTGCAACATTCCAGAGATGTATGATGTCCATATTTAGTAAGTTAATTGATGATGGATTATTTATGGATGATTTCTCTGTATTCGGAACATCATTTAACGCATGCTTAAATTACCTTAAAAAAGTTTTGGAGTTATGCGAAAGAACTAATTTAGTTCTAAATTGGGAGAAATGTCAATTTATGATTGCAGGAGGAATTCTATTAAGCCATAAAATTTTGGAAGATGATATGGAAGTAGACCCTACAAAAATTCAATTTATATCTAAAATAACACCTCCTACTAATGTAAGAGAAGTTAGGTGTTTTCTTAGACATGTTGGTTTTTACAGGCGTTTTATTAAAGATTTCTCAAAAGTTACTAAACCTCTATGCCTACTTTTAGAAAAGGACAACAAATTTGAGTTTACCGAAAGCTGTTTAAATGCCTTTGAGTTATTAAAGAAAAAATTAATCACAACCCCTATTATAGTTTCACCTAACTTCGAGAAAGCATTTGAACTGATGTGTAATGCTAGTAATTATGCTATTGGAGCTGTTCTTGAAGAAAGGTACGAAAAGATTTTTAAAGTTATATATTAT